GGGAGGGACCCGTTCCCTGCCTGCGAGCCAGCTGCGCTAGCCTGGTCCCGGGAGCATAAGCGGCTGTTTTTTCATTGCAAATTAGAAATCAATCATAGCAGGAAATTCCCATGCTGAGAACACCCTGGCTGTTATTATTTTACAGCACTCGGAGGTGTTCTGGGCACTTAAAAAGACGTGGCCCTTTTGGGGTATTATGGGGCAAATTAGTTTTAAAGGCAGCACTAGGAATGTTGGCCGTTTGGTTTCCGGAGCGGGACGAGCACAGGTGGAGGCTGCGGGGCTTTGTGCTGCTTTGTGCTGCTTTCAGACACAGCACCGCTCTGCAAAGAGGGAATCAGCACACTCCGGAGTGAACACCTCTAGCCTGACCCCAGCTTTATTAATAACAAGTAATTAATATGAGAGCGGACGTGCCTTGTGTCTCTGAAGACCTTTTAAGATGTGATTATGTTGTGCTAATCTCACCCCGAAGTACTTCCCTGTTTAGACTGCGCTGGGCCATTAAATATCTGAAAAGCTAGCGGAGAGCCCCCCCTCACCGCCCCGGGAAGTGCTCGGGGTCTGTTCCCCGGCAGCCAGGCCCTGCTTTCAAACTCTCTAAATCAAGCATTAAGTCGAGCCCATCTGGACTGCCAGGAAAAACACTCCCTCCCCTTCATCTGTGTCTCATTACCCACCGTGCCAGCCCCGGCCCTGGAGCCGCTCGCTCCATCCCACCCAGATGTGCTGCCCTGCACTCGCCTCCCGTATTTCACAGCCGTCAGCAGGACTTCAAGGAGCAGCCGAAGGGCCTGTAACACTGCACAGGCTCTTAGCAGAGACATATATCCAGGTCCCTAGTGCGTAGCCACAGGCGCATACCCTAATGCGAAGCCCCTTTCCCCCTCCTTTGGTCTTGCACCAGGCAGGGGAACTGGGGCACTCGGCGCTCCCCAGCCAGGAGGTTTCTGAGCCACTTCCCCACAGCTCTTTGCCCAGCGCACATCCAGACTATTGGTTTTCAGGGGTTCCCCCCCTGAGACCCCCCCAAAGCCAGGCAGCCTCTGTGCCCCCCCACGTGGGGAAGGGCACCCAAAGGCAGGACAGGACGGAGCAGGCGCCAGTGGCAAAGGCGAGGACTTGAAGACATAGACCTGCAACCCTGTAGTAACCGGGGTGACTAAATTTGGGAGCAGAATGCCTGGCAGAAGACAAAGTCAACACTGAGCCTAGACCAAAATAAGGTACCCACGGATCAAAACCAAGCAACAGCCCCTGTGTTCATCGGCTCAGAAATCTCATAGGCTAAAGCTTGCCAGTGAAAGTTTCAGCACTTTCTGATTCCAGAAAATCTGCAGAAACAGCCACATTTGTCGAAGTCTGGCACTTTCCTGACCCTGTCAGCAGCCCAGGACTGCAGAGGTGAAGGCACACACCAACTCTTCACTTACGAGGAGAGTCAGCCACTTCCTCCCGAGTTTCTGAAGAGCCGGTGGCCAGCCTGCGGTCGGGGCTCAGCATCAGCTGAAGTTAGGGTACGAGAACCGCATGGCCATGCTCAAACGTTACTTCCAGAGAGGCCAAGGCAGGCAGCATCACAAAGAGGTTTCGGGGGTATGAGATTTAAGAGGGGGAAGCAAAGCGTGTCTATTGTCTCACTATGCCACTGTCTGCAGGAGGGTGTGCAGCCCCGATCCTACACTGGTCCCTGATCACCAGCACTGACTGGGGACCCCACGCTCCAGTAAGCAACAGGAATCCTCTGCAGAAGGTCATGGCGAGAAAAGCCCTGGGCTGAAAATACTCCTCTCGTCAGTCCTTTGGAGTATGGCAGAGATGCAGGGGAGGCTTTAATATCAGTGAGCAGGAAAGGGAGAAAGAAAGGGGTCGAGGTCAGAGTGTTATGCCGGGCATAGGGGCACTGACACGTCCCGTAAGGCAACGCAAGGAAGAAGCCCGGGCGCAGGGCAGGAAGCCTCGGGATGTCCTTCCCCAAGGATGGGGTGGAGATGCAGGCAGGAGCCCCGACCAGACCCTGCAAGCAAGAGCGGGCCATGCCCAAGGTCCAGCGAGGTCTCCAGCGAGTGCGGGGTCTCCGGCATTTCGGTGCCCTGGTTGCCCTCTCCGCTCCCGGTGGCCCCGGGCAGGCGGTGGCAGGCACTGCCTGTGTCGGGATGCCATCTAGTGTCGCTCGGCAGCAGGGACCGTCAGGCAGTGACACCACACATAGGCTCCCCAGACTCAGAGCATCTCCAGGGGCCAGCTGGGAGGCACTCCAAAACAGCCTGGGTGCTGGGATACCCACCCCTGGGGGACGGTCCGCACCCCGTGGCCAACACGGCTCCAGACCCCAACGGAGAACAACGGGCATTGCCGGGGCAGCAAAGCTCAAAGCGGTGCCTGGGCTTGCTCGGCGGCTGACGGGGCAGCCAGGGCCTGGAGACTCAGCAGCCTCACCGGTGGCACGGAGCAGCCCGGGTGGTGGGTGGCTTGGTGAAGAAGAAGGACGAGCATCCCCCATAGCAGCGTGCAGCCCACCTGCAGTGCCAGCACGGCCAGGCCCAGGCCCAGGGAGACCCGGCAGTGCCGTGGGCTGGACCGCAGGGCGAAGCCCCAGGCCTGATGGCTGCTGGGGGGTAGGGGTGGGGATGCCGTCCAGGGGCTCGTATGGTCTGGCAGCAGAGGGACAGGAGGTGTCGGGAGCAGGATGGTGCCTGCAGGGGTGGGAATGTGTTGGGGGGCAGTGGGAGAGGGCTGGGTGCCAACCATGGACAAGCCCCATGCGGTGGTGCGGTCCTGCTCCCTGCCTGGCACAGGAGTGTGGTGGGACGGGGAGTGCTCAGCCAGCAGGACCATGCCTGGCACAGCAACCCTGGAGGGTGGACAGAGTGGTGGTGGGGGTGCTGAGACAAGGGAGATGCTGGGTGTCCTCCATGGGATGGTGGATGGCCTCTCCGTGGGCACCAGAAGAGCAGGAGGCACTTGTCTGGTGGTGGTTGCCAGTGGGCTGGTTGGCACCAGTGTGGTGGCAGAAGCTAGAGTGGACAGTACAGGGGCTGGGCTGGTGGCCTCAGGAGGCTGTAGGCTTATGATGGCTGGAGTTGGACACAAGGTGAATGCCTCCTGTGGCACAGCTGGTGATGGGGTGGTGATGGAAGCCTTGGGCATCACAGCTGGTGATGGGGTGGTAGTGGAGGCCTTTGGCAGCACAGTTGGTGGTGTGTTGATAGAAGTCCTTGGCAGCACAGTTGGTAATGGGGTGATGATGGAGGCCTTTGACAGCACAGTTCGTGATGGGGTGGTGATGGAGGTCTCGAGCAGCACAGCTGATGACGTGGTGGTGATGGAAGTCTTTGGCAGCATGGTTGATGATGGTGTGCTGATGGAGGTCTTGGGCAGCACAGTTGGTGACGGGGTAGTGACGAAGGCCTTAGAAAGCATGAGTGGTGATGGAGCAGTGAAGAAGGCCTTCATTGGCATGGTTGGCAACGTGGCAGAGGTGGCCACAGGTGACAGCATGGTTGGCAGTGCCATGATGGGAGAAGCTGTAAATGACGGCGTGGTTGGTGCTGCAGTGGGCAAGGCTCCAGGTGACAAGGTTGATATCCCTTGTGATGATGTGGAGGTGAATGGCAGAGATGGGGTAAAAGAAGCTGAAAGAGGCAGAGTAGCTGGGCAAATTAAGTGGTCATCCCTGAGCAATGTCACTGCTTGCCCTGCCAGGTGGGGTGGACTCTTGCATGACACTTGGGTGGACAATTTGACCTTCTCACTGTTGCCCAGGATCCAACTGTGCAGGTAGCAGAGGTTGCAGTCACATCTCCATGGGTTCCCACTCAGATACACTGAGCTGAGCTTCTTCAGGGAGTCCAGAAGCCCTTGGGGAACACTCTCCAGCTGGTTCTTCTGAAGGTTGAGGGTGTTCAGGTTTGGGAGAGAAGCAAAGGCCTCATAATCCAGAGCAGAGAGCAGATTTGCATCCAGCTGGAGGTCTGACAGCTTGCTGAGCCCAGTGAAGGCTCCTCTTGGCAGGGCTGCCAGCTGGTTGTGGGACAAGATGAGTTTGCCAAGAGATGTGAGGTTGACAAAGATGCCGTCTGGAAGTGTGGCCAAGCTGTTCCTGCCCAGGTCCAGCTCCCGCAGGTGTGGCATGGTGTCAAACAGGCAGCAGGGGAGCTCCATAATGTGGTTGGAACCCAGAGTCAGCAGCTTCAATTTGTTTAAACCAAAAAAGCCCCGGGGTGGGAGAACCCTGATGAAGTTGTTGTCCAAGAGGAGTTTCTCCAGGTGAGGCAGGCTCCTCAGGAGCATGGGTGGCAGCACCCTGAGCCTGTTCTTCTGGAGGCTGAGCTCCAGCAGCCCCAACTGACTGTCTAGCAGCCCCTCTTGGAGGTCCTGCAACTCATTCTCATACAGCCGGAGGACCTGCAGCCGGGCGAGTTTGCTAAAGGCATCCCCAGGAAGAGTCGTGATCCTGTTTCTAGCCAGGTTCAAAAATGTTAGGTTGACAAGAGAATCAAAAACGCCTTCTGGAAGAGAAGGGATTGCATTGATGCACAGGGAGAGCTCTGCCAAATTTTCCAGCCCATCAAACAGGCCTTTGGGGATGTATCTGAGGTGGCTGTCTCGCAGCTCCAGCCTCTGCAAGCTTGGGAGGTTTTGGAAAGTGCCTGCAGCTAGTTCTTCTAATGAGGCACCAGAGATGCCCAAGTCCCTCAGTTTGTCCAAATTATCAAAGGCTCCAGGTTCAACTGTCTTGATCTTGTTGCCAATAAACAAAATCTTGATCAGGTTGGGCATGTACCTGAAGGTACCTTTCCTTATAGCAGTGATGCTGGTTTGCACAAAGATCATCTCAGAAACGAAGGGGTTTGCAATCTTTGGGATCTCTTTAACATCATTTTTTGTCCCTCTGTAGACCTCCTGGTAGTCTTTGGGCATTTCATATGGATCTTCACCCAGGATTTGATCTTGGCATTTATGAGGATGGAAGGAGAGGAAGAAAAGGAAAAGGAAATGCTGGTACATTGTTCTGAAAAAAAAGGTTTCAAAAATCAGTTATGAAGAGAAAAAAAATCTCAGTCCACAGCTCATGAGCTGTGGTACCATGCTGCCGTTCAGCTCTTGGGACTCTTCTATTCACATACCATAACTCATTTTATGAGAATGAGGGAGACCATGCAACCCAACGTACGCTACATTTACAAGAGTTCACTGCCGTTGGTACCAAGGGATGGAGAAGAAGGGAGAGAGAGCCAGCGTGTGGCTTGGCACTGGGAGATGCTCCAGGAGGGACAAGGGCTGGATGGTCTGTTCCCTGGCCCTCCTTCTCCCACGTTTGGGCTGTAGGCTCAGCATCTGTCTGGGTGAAGAAGGCAAAGTGCTGCTGCCCATTAGCACTGCTCCAGTGGGCCCAGTTACTCAGCAGGGCAACAGCCCATTCATGCAACAACAGAAGCAGTCAGCCCTGTGCTTGCTAATGAGGGACCAGAGAGGGTCCCAGGAGCCAGCCAAGGCCAGATGACCTTGTTTACTCAGAGTTTCCACACTGAGCTGGATGGACTTGCTATTTCATTAGTGCTTCTCTCAGTTCAGGGGGGGGTCTCCTTTTCAGAATTCTTGTTAATCGCATCATATTTTGGCCTTGGTTATGCAGCTCCGTCAGATGGAAATGGTTAACTTGCAAGCAGCAACCAAGCTTTAGAGCAAGGCTTGTTAAAACACTATGAAATGTCCACAGATGAACTCTTTAACACCTAAGATTTAGGGCTCTGACCTGCAGTTAGGAAGTGAAGTCGCTGATGCACAGCCACCCGTAGCCGTGTAAAGCCCACCACTTCCATCGAGTCATTTGGGAACACTCAGCGAACACGTGAGCTGGGGTTTAATAGCCGTGAGCATTGTACTGGGACTGTAGTTTCCAGCTTATGATTCACAGCCCTGGGTGGGAGCAAGGGAAAGGTCTGTGGGTTCCTTCTTGGGTGTCCATCAAAGCTGACCACACAAAAAAACTTATGCTGGGAGGGTAAATTTGCTAAGAAAAGTGGGGGTTTTTTGAAAAATGTTGAGAGGTCAGCAAATACAGGAGGCTGAAAGCCACTGGGTTTGAAGAGAAATCGATGGGAGGCAAGGTGTGTGCCAACTGCCCCGCGGGATTCCCCGGGCAGAAGCCGCTGCTGATCCCTGCCCATCCTCTCCCCAGGGAGACTCGGGTGCAGGAGCCAGAGATGCGGGTACAAAAGTGCCTGCTTCACTTCAGCTGCAGGGACGGTGCAATGGGTAAAATGCCCAGGTGGGAATGGCTGGGCTGAGTGTGTGGGGATGAAAATAAACAGTTTTGAACTGCAAAGCTCTTTTAAAACTCTCCCTCACCCCGTCTGACTGTGGTCAACCTCAGCGTGGTCCCTCGCTTGTCCCACCCTCCAGCAGCGCAGGGACACGGAGGGACAGCCCCAGCTCACAGCACCGCAGCTTCTCCTGCTCCTCACACCAAGGAAACGATCAACACCCCCCCAGAGCCACCCCTCCTGATATATTTTAAAGAGAGGGAAAAAAAGGCGTTCTGCATCACTTACTTGGCTAAGCACTTGTGAATGAGTCCAGCTGCCGGAGCGAGCCCTGCTGTGCTCTGCGAGGAGCGAGGCCACCAGACCGAGGTCCCATCACCTGGCCAGCGCTTTATCCACGGCCCAGGCACAGGGGTGGTTTCACACGAGGTCAGAGCACAGGTCTGCGTGGGGAGATAAGGGACAAGCAGGGAGCGGGCAGCGGAGAAGTCCCCCTGGTGAGAGGCCATCGTAGAAACCCCTCGGAGAGGATGCAGGCACGTACTCCCCAGGCATTATCTGCTGGTGCCACTTGACTAGTCACATCCAGGGAAACCTGAAGGTCTCCGGGCCAGCCTGTTTTGTAGCTGATGGTCTCTGCAGTCCCATATCTCCACCAGCATAACCCACCAGCTTCACAGGCCCTATACCCACCGACACAACAGAAAGTTTTCCTATTTAAAGCTTTTCCTGTTAACAATATCCAGCTGTTTCCTTCCTCAGGAATTGGCTTATGTAGCTAAAGGTGCTGCTCTGAAGCCATTTGTTTAAGCTTATAACAGGCGTAATATCTGTGGCCGGACAGATACACTGACAGCCGGGCTCGGGCTCAGCCCCACACCTCACCGGCCGTAGGGCTGGGGCTGAGCGTTGTGCTCCCCTCCACCCTAGCACAAGCCAAAGACCCTCCCGTGGTGACACCCAGGGCTCCTGGACAGTGCAGACCGTTTTGTGGGAAGAAACACCCTGTTTGATGCAAAGACTTAAAATGACAAGGTATTCATCACTTCCCAATGGATAATTGCACTAATTGCATTTTAACATTTCTTCTTCAGTGTTCACCTGCTCTTATTACAGCTCAACTTGTGCTTGCTGGGCTTTATTATACCTTTCCTGGAAAATTTAAAAACACTCCAACTACTGCACGTTTTCAACAGCCTTACCCCTTCCCAGTGTCAATGCTGTATGCACCCAGGTCCCCGCTCGGTGCCAGGCTGCTCCAGAGGCTGCAGGGTGGCAGAAGCCAGGGTGCACAAGGGGACAGAGCTGACAGTGGGGGTGCAACCAGCAGAGCTGACAGTGGGGGTGACACCAGCCTCCCCAGGCTGCAGTGTGGCAGCTGTGCCAGGGTTTGGGGACCTGCAGCCAGCTGCAGCATCCCTGGTCCAGGCTTGGAGGTGGCCATGCCAGTGTCACCTGGGAGATGGCTGCAGCACGGTAGCAGTCCCCTGTGCAGGAGAGGCAGCAGGGCAGCTGTGTAGGATCATGTCTCGGGGTGCAGCATTGCCCACCTGCCTCCCGGAGCATGGGGCCAGCAGTCCAGAGCACGGCCAGGATCGCAGCCCACTGCCGGGGCAGGCTGGGCTAACACGACATGGAGCCTCCACTCTGCTCCCAGCCCTCCGGCTGGGCAGCAGCGGGGAAGGGGCTGGGAGAGGAGCACCGCACACCAGC